CTAGACCCTTCATCAGAAGGGTCTGATGAAGGGTCTAGGCCCGAAACGTCAGCCTTTCTGCTCCTATGATGCTGCTTGGCCTGCTGTGTTCATCCAGCTCTGCACCTTGTTGTCTCGGATTCTCCAGCATCTGCAGTTCCTACTATCTCTGACATTGGTATCTAGTGTCTTGCTGCAATATTATCATCAAGATGCTAGAGCTGAAAGCCAGGACAGGCATAAAACACAACCAGGGTCAGATCCCTTCCTGTAAAATTGAGATGGAGCAAACAAGCAACAATTATTCTGAGGTCAAAGTGCACACATAGACAGTGTGTGTACCTGGAATGCGGCGAACGTGCCAGTCCCCACTGAAGGCATTTCAGTGAGGGCATGCTGTCTGCAAAACTGGAGCGGCCTAACCTCAGAGATCTGGGCACAGAACAATCTGAAAGAGAAGAACACAATGAGATGAAGTGCAGGACAAAGAGGATAATGCTAAAACCAGATGGACAGAATGAAACAACCTACAATAGCTCACAGAGTCTCACCCCATATAGAACCAAAATTCCAGCCTTGAGCTGATCAAATATCAAACTCCTAGCAGCTATACATGACATCAGAAATTCAAACTGAATTCTCAGTCAAAGGCCTGGGCTTTGTTGCCTCATGCAGGTTAGGATTGCACTTGGAAAACTAAAAAAAGCATGCTCTTGCACCAAGTGAATTTCAACTTTGATAAGCACGACAGGTACCAGCAGTGCACAGCTTGTCCACTACAGAGTGCCCATTACATAGTGCCTCAAATTTAATGTATCTTTTAAAGAAAGCAGCGAACGAAATCGTTTTACAGATAGATTCCTAGTGATGCATGAAGTAAAGCTTTAAATAGCATACTGTAAGAAGCACAAAGCTATTCTTGCCATTAGGATTTCAGTAAAGTGTATTAGCACTTGTGAACTTTTTAATACTGTGCCCAATTGAACTGTGAAAAACACCACTAGTTCAATTATAGATTTTGGTCATTTCAAACTTGGGTTATGCCTGCAGAGTGCCTTGAGCTGTGTAATTTACACTGAACGTTTGCGGGGAGAAGCAGCAGTGTATAGACTTCTTTCATTGGTACTTGGACCGCATTTAAGAACTGGCATACATGAAGCACATTAGCTTCAGGTGCACTGATTTTTTTTACACAATAGTGATAGTTACGTCTGCCCAGGGTCACTTGCTGCCCCTTTCTGTGTCTGTTCACGGGTTGCCTATCCACCTGTGGGTGGCTGACAGAACTGGAAAACAAAGTCACTCTCTTTTACTTGCAGCAAGAGACCGTTAGTATAAATGAGGAGACTCTAAGCTTATAAAGTGAGAGTTCACAAATAACAGTTTTATTTCTAAAGTATTAAATCTCCTCCCCAGAAATACCCAGCTTCAAATACCAAATGCATGTCAAATTAGCCATGATCTTATTCAGTGATGGAGCAGGTGAGGGGCTGAATGGCCTACTCTTGCTCCAATTTCTTATGGTCTGATAACCCTTAATTCCCCTACCCAATAAGAATCTATCCATCACTGCCTAAAAAATATACAACAACCTCACCTCTAATGCCTTCTGAGGCAGAGCGTTCCAAAGTCTCACAACTATCAGGGAAAAAAAAACTCATCTCTATCCCAAAAGGGAGACCCTTAATTTTCAAATAGTACCTCCTGGCCTTGGACTCACCCACGAGAGGAAACATCACTTCCACATCCATTATTTATTTATTTATTTTTCTAATTTGTTCCTAAGAACCTATATCTAGGTATCTTTGTATCTAAGATGGTGCCATATGTGGTGACTGTGGACTTTTCACTGCACTCATATGAGTACATGACAATTAACCTAATTTTAATTCTAACTTTGTCACGACAATTCAGAATCTTAAGCACTTCAATCAAATCACCCCTCACTTTGCTAAGCTTCAGCAAAAACAAGGTCAGTGTGTTTAACATTTCCTCATAAAACAACTCACACTTTCCAGGCAATCTTGTAAGCCTCCTCTGAACCACATCCAACATACTTATAACCTTCTATGAACAAGGAGACAAAACTGTATGCAGCATTCAGGATGTGATCTCACCAATGCCATGTAACTGAAGCATAACATCCTTACTTTTATATTCAATTCCTCTTATAATAAAAGGATCGCACTCCATTAGCCTTCTGAGTATGCAGATACCAAAGCAATTAAGATACAGAGCCCCATTCCATCATTGTGTGGAGTCTCTCAGGCTCAGAGCCCTGTCCCATCACTGTGTGGGAAAATCACAGACACACACTTTGCTAAATCATTTAGAATAATCACAGGTTACAGTCTATGTTCTATCAGCATGCGGGGAAATCAGACACAGGCCCACACCCTATCACATGGGGAAAATTGCAGACACAGAAGCTTATCCCGTCACTGTGTGGGGGACATCACCGGTTCACAAAGCCTCAACTCATCACCATGTGAAGATATTTAGGGACACACATCCGTCCCAAATAGTACTGCTGACATAGGGAAATCAGAGTTGCTGACCATGCTCCAGAAGCATATGGGAAAACTGCGGGTGTCGATCCCATTACTTTGAGCTGTAGTCCATTGGAATGCTGATGCCTCGCCCTGAAATGAGTATTGATTGAGACTATAGGCTTAGACAAAAAAGACTAGTCCAGATACACTACTATGAAATATTTCCCAATAGATTAAGCAGGCCTGCTGATATTACAAAGAGCTGTAAAACCACAATTGCAGTTGATATAAAAAAGTTTAACCAATAAAATTCCCAATGAACTTTCAACATTTCTGATAAATGTACAAATAAGGTGGCAATGATACTGCTGAAAAATTTGGCAACAAATATTCAGCAAACAGTCTTTTGCTGCCTTTTTTTCTTTTTCCCCCCATTCAGTCTGGATATAGTGTGCGTCAATTCATCACTGACAGGGAACATTCATCAGCACAAAAGATCTGCAGTATTTTTCCAGCTAATAATTAGCTACTCATCTTAACTTCCAAACTCCATTCACACTTCTTTGAAGACAGCTGTCTTGAGTCGGAAAGCCACCAGACATGGGAGAGTAATCAGCAGTAAAAACCAACCATCACCAACATAATAGAATTTCAACATGTACCATGTATGCAAATACAGGTGTTTGCAGGGATGGAGATTTGCAGTAATAACAAGCGGAGGAAACTTTCCACTCATGCAAAACCACACGCAAGGAGCATGTGTTGATCAAATGCAGTCATCGGTCCAATAGAGCAGTCATACCTCTCAATGGCTGGTGTGCTGCCAACTGAGCTGGTCACAGTTGAGCAGAGAGATGTTAGTTTAGAGCTCTGCTGTATGTTGGAGGGTTCCTCAGGAGCAGGAGACACATGTGCATCAGATGTGTAGACATCTGTCTGCAGTGAGGAGTGGAACAGTTTCAGGTTTAAACTCAGACAAGGGACCAACTATGTCAAAATTAGTGAGTAGATCGGGAAAGCTCAGACGTTACTGGACTTGGAATCCAGAGAATGGGAGTTCAAATCCCAGCACGGCAGTTTGAGAATTTTAATTTAGTTTAAAATCTGGAAGTAAGAAGCTGATCTTAGTAAAAGTGACCACAAAGCTGTCAGACTGTCATAAAAAGTCCAATGGTTCACTAATGCCCTTTAGGAAAGGAAGCCTGCTGTTTTTACTCGAATTTGGTTTAGAGCCAATGTTCCTTCTAAGCTGCTGGCTGCAAGAACACAGCCACTGAGGGTCTGCACATGGCAATTGGTGTACTGCAGCATTAACTCCCGGTTATAGAAGTCGTTGTCGTGCACAGATTTCAGAGGTCCACGCAGTAAAAAGACAATTAGCAAGTACACTGTTTAGGACTTTAGGTGACTTCAGACTTGCACAACATTGTTGACTCTTAACTGCCTTCTGAAGAGCACCAGCTAGTTACGCACTTTGTATTAATAGGGATGGTGAATAAACGTCAGTGAAGCCCACACCCAAAAAGCAAATTTCAAACACCTCACGTTTCACGCAAATCTATTTGAACCATTGAAATAAGCATATGTATCCTGATTGATTTTGTCCTTCCAAACATTGATGTTGTCTGTTGAGACAGCATTTGACCTGTGCAATGCTGAAATGATATATTAGCAGCACCAAAGTGCATAACAAGTCCATTAAGGAAAAAAAATTCTTGCATTTCTATGATATCTTTCAAAAACATAGGACTTCCCACAGCACTACAGATCGGTGGTAAAGTGGACAATGAAGAAGGTTATCTAACAGTACAATGGGATCTTGATTAAGTTCGCCAGTGGACCAAGCAATGGCAGATGGAGTTTAATTTAGATAAATGTGAGGTGTTGCATTTTGGTAAGACTTACACAGTTAATAGTAGGGCCCTGGGAGTGTTGTCGAACAGAGAGATCTAGGAGCGCAAGTACGTAGGTTCTTGAAAGTGGTGTCACAGGTAGACAGGGTGGTGAAGGCAGCATTCGGCACGTTTACCTTCTGAGTACCGGAGTTAGGACATCATGTTATGGCTGTACAAGACATTGGTAAGGCCACATTTGGAGCACTGTGTACAATTCTAGTCATCTTGCTATAGGAAGGATGTTACTAAACTGGAAAGGATGCAAAAAAGATTTACAAGGATGTTACTGAGACTGGAGGGTTTGAGTTATAGGGACAGGCTTGGACTTGTTTCCACTAAAGCGTAGGAGGCTGACGTCTATAAAATCATGAAGGATACAGATAAGGTGAAGAGCCAAGCTGTTTTCTCCAGGGCAGGTGAGTCCAAACTAGAGGGCTGTTGCATAGATGGAACAAGTTGCCAGAGGGAAGTGGTAGAGGTGATTATAATACAATATTTAAAAGACATTTGGACAGGTACATGGATAGGAAAGGTTTAGAGATATATGGGCCAAATGCAGGCAAATGGCACTCGTTCAGTTTAGGAAACCAAGTCGCATGCATGAGTTGGGCGAAGGGGTCTGTTTCATTCCGAATGACTCTATCCATTTAAACAGGCACATGGAGCCTTAACTTAATAATGCATTCAAAGGGTGAATGCTCCAGCATTGCAGCACTTCCTTTGAAATGCAAAAGTGTACCAACACCAAAGTGCTCAAGTCAGATCCTAAATGAATGACTTCTGAATTAGAGCTGAGTGAATCTCAAACTGGGTGAAGGCTAACTTGTCGGCAAGAAATCAAAGGGTTCAAACTGCAGTCATACGCCAGGCCCTAGACCGAGGGAACAGCCTAGTCATATTATCACTGGACTATTAATCCAGCTATTGAATTTGAATTCAACACAAAATTGCGACTAAGAGTCTAATGATGACCAATAAACCATTGCCGATTTATGGAAAAGCCCGTCTGCTTCACTAATGTCTTTTATGGAAGGAAATCTGCCATCCTCACCCAATCTGGCCT